CTTTGTGTATTTAAACTTTGGTTTTATCTTTTGCTTTACTTGATGAAGAAATTGTAATTTATTGTCTACGTAACTACGTCTCTTATTTTGTTAATTAGGAGTTACACCAATTTTATTTATTGTTAGGCGTTTCTTTGGTGCGGAAATAACAGTTTTTCCCTTTTTCTTATTTAATAGGTTCTTTAGCGTTTTGGGTATGTTTAATAAATAAAAACACAAATAAAACACTAAGATATAACAATAACTTGAATTTATGTACACGCAACAAAAACCATGAATTAAAAAAGAAATATACAACAGACAAAAAACGTAAAATTGAAAAGACACAAGAACACAACAAGACACAAAAATATATACAAAAACAATGAAAACAGACAGACAATTAACAATAAAGAAATGTTGTAGACTTACTCGAATGTGACAGCAGAGTGGTTGGTTAGTATGGAAATTTAGGGGTTTATATACAGCTGAATTGTTAGTAAAAAGAGATAGAATATTCAAGAAGGAACAGTATGAACAGTAAAGTTGAAAGTACAGGTTTATAGCACTCAGAGCGAGCAATATAGAATTTTAGGAAAAGTAATTAAGGGAAAGTACAGCTATTAGTAAGGGGTGCATGCAAGTATAGGTGAAGATGAAATTCTAGGTAAAGGCTAACGATAGTAGAACAATAGAATCTAGGTTGAAAGGAAACAAAGGCATGCACAAGATAAGAAGTTGTAAGTCTACAAATAGATTTAGAAGAATATTCACAAAATAATAATAATAATAAAAATTCAATAAAAACGAATATAAGAAATTAACTTTAACGGTGTTACCGCCACAGTTCGTTATTATCTATTCCTAGAGACGCATATAAAGCCAAAAAGTTCACATTGGGGGAATTCAATAACAATATCCCTATTATCCCTTCCGTTGAATTGCAGTAACGATGGAAATTTGAGAGAAGTAACGGTGCATCTTCCTTCGGATCTGTGTTCGTCAGTACACGTGTAATCATATCTGCATCTGACAATTAGGTTAAGGAAAATTACGCGATTCTCTTAACTACCTGATTCGATTATGTAAAGCACTTCCTCTTCTTTCTTCTTCTCTTGCACCGTCTCCTTCATACCTTCCCTCAATATGTACATGCGTATACATAAACGGATTGTTTCGTTGGGGACGAGGAGTAACTCTGAACTAATTGTAAGTCGGAAGATGCGCGGTCTTGTACCCAAACATCGCATTCGGTAAGTTCGTTAATTATTACCGAACTTACGTGGAGTTCTGCACATTATATACATATATATACTATTTGCAAGTTGACAACTTCTGAGTGACTTGAGGAGTTCGATAATCACTGCAACTCTGCAACCGACCAATATTTCAAACGTTAAACATGTAGGTAAAAGTAAACGAAGTGCGACAAAGCAGAAAATCGTTTAAACTTTGAGTCAATATTAATAACAAATATGCATCACGTTCCTATTAAGAGAAGGAATATTTTATAGTTTTATTACATGGCAAGCTCTTTAAGGGAGTCGTTATTAAAGAATACCCGTAGGAATTAAACTTCAATGGGAATCAATGGAAAATTTGTAAATTCCATTCAAACCCATTTGGCATAAGTGGAAAATTAATTGTTTCCATTTACAGTAATTCCATTAATATTGACATAGGAAAAATTTCCATTGATTTTCAATGGCAACCAATGTAAAATTTATAGATTCTATTTAAAACCATTCAATATAAATGGAAAAAAATTGGGTACCTAAAAATGGAAAAGATCTGGTTTGAGATGATTAAAACTTATTAAAAAAATAGAGAAAAACGTGCTGAAGTTAATGTGATTTCAGAGCAAGTTGTAAAAATAATAAACAAGACATTATTTGGAATAATAATTGTCATGTAGTTCATATTCTTTTTCGTTAAAAAACCTCATATTTCATCTTGATTGAAACGAATGTCATTTAATTACCACTAACAATAATTAAAGGTAAAAAATAAACAATTGACACTAGGATTTCCACTGGGTTCAGGAATGGAAGTTTGAATGGAACGCAACGGAAATCCCATTGAGTTCTGGATGGGATTTTCACTAGAATTCTAATGGAAATTCCATTCATCCCATTGGCAATTCTCCACTTATTACTATTAATTATTATCAGTGATATAATTAAATGGCATTTTTTTTTAATGGAAATAGAATGGAAATTTGTCCTACGGGTAAAGCAGAACAGAGAAATTTCGCTTTATAGATAAATAAGGATTTTGTTTGCTTCTAAAAGATATGTGCAAAATATGGCGATAGTATTTAGTCTACAAATTACAAATTTGGTTACGTGTATTCTCATAAAAATTGCGGAACTTGAACTTGAAATTGAACTTAACTACATAATATTCAAATTAAAGTGACATAGAGAATTTATCTAATTTTGTTTCGTTGAAAAGATACCCGGAAAGTTTCAAAAAGAGTAGAACTCGTGCATTTTATAATAACATATTAAAAATATGAAAGATAACGAAAATATATTAATAACTTGGCAACGTCATCTGTTCTTTTATTTTGAAATACAGAACTCAATAAAAATGCCAAAAAACTAACACAATCCTCTCTGTAGATGTATAGGCATACTTTTTAATTATAAAACGTTATTTAAATGTGAGGTAAACATACTTATATATTGCTTATTTAGCTTCGTTGGTATTTTCTAAGACACATATTTTTTAATGCCTAGGGCGTTCACCCAAAATCCGTTTAGCAATATCATTTCATACCCTTTTGTTCGCTCCGTTTATCGTCTCGTTTATTCTTTGCGAAGCGACGTTGCCAAGCGAGACGGTCTCAGTTTGATGGTGATGTTATTTCAAGATAAAATAAATGGCTATAGGTAAAGGGCTATTTACATAACGTTAAACATCCATACAATGTTCTTTCAAGCAACGGTTTATTTTGGAACCATGAATGTGCCATCGCTGATGCTACCGGCGATGCTGCATCTGCTTCTGCGGCACATTGGACTGTGCCAATTGTATTTTCCTTTAATTTATTTAAAGCTTCATTGAAAGGTTCTCCCTCGGCGATTTCGTAAATGAAATGGAAAGACACAAGTTGTAAGGAAAGCTGCCGTTACCTTCACGGTAGGTACCTCATTCGATCGAAAATACAGACTGAAGGACTTATCTATCTGGCTTCTTTTCTTCGTTTTATTCTCCTTCTTCGTGTACAGCGGGAAGTAGCTTCGTTTTTTTACGTTATTCAATTTTGTAGTTTATCCATTTCTTTGGGAGTCCGAATATCTTTTTCTTATTGGCAGTGCGCATGGCGAAAAAGAAAAGATTAGAAGCGTTCGAAATGTGGTATTACAGACGAATGATGACGATACCATGGACAGAGAAGGTTAGAAATGAAGTGGTATTAGAAAGAATAGGAAAACAGAGGTCTTTATGGAAGTCAATAAGAAATAGGCGAGATAGGTTAGTAGGACACCTTCTCAGGCATGAAGATCTAGTCAGAGACATATTAGAGGCAGAAACGGAAATCAGGAGGGGTAGAGGTAGACCTGGATTAGATTACTGTTCGCACATAGTTAAGGATGTGGGTTGTTCTAGTTTTAGGGAAATGCGAAGATTAGCTCAGGATAGGAAAGAATAGAGGTGCGTGTCCAACCAGTCTTAGGGCTGACGACCTTATGACGATGATTGGCATGTAATTTCTTTATTATTGTTGCTTGTACTCTTCTGTTTTTGTGATTTTAAACTGTTTATTAGGATTTTTGTCTTTCTCAAACCAATTTTTGATTTTAAAACTGAAACAATTAACCTGAATTATATCATTTCCTAATTTGTTATTCCTTACAAATAGGTTCCATTGATTTATGTTGTTTATTGGCTTATAAATTACTCTGCAGTATTATAATTGGATCATTATATCAAAATAGCTACTCTTTTAAAAACAGAGTCCATTGTTCGATTGGGCTATAAATAAGCATATATTCCAAATTGCAAGAGGTAGAAAGGCAGGTAGAAGAACGTATAGATTTTAATCAGGAATTCTCCGAATACAGAACGTTTTGAACATTTTGCAACTGATAAATGATGATGGCCAGATATTTATATAGGTCAAAGACAACGGGCAACATAATTTCATACAATGTTTATTGAGAAAATACCGCAGTAAACGCGATTTGTAGTACGATGCTACATTTTAGGATTACGTATGCTTCAACAAGGTCCATTTAAATATATTGATATCTACTTGCTGAAAAGAATCCCGGCGTAGCTAACCTCCACGTGATAGGCGCGTTACCATAATCGAATAAAATAATTCGAAGTGGTCTGTATTCTGTCGAAACTACCAGACGCGGATCGCGATTTCGATCTTTTTGGATCTCATCAGCGCGTCGCAGGCAGCTCCGACAGAACACAGACCAACTTTCGTTTCAGCAAGTAGATATCCATATATTTAAATGGACCTTGTTGGAGCATACGTAATCTTAAAATGAAGCATTGTACTACAGATGGCGTTTACCGCGCCATTTGTGGTATTTTCTAAAACGCACTGTTAAGACAGCAGGTAAAAGTTGGTTTGTGTTCTGTCGGAGCTGCCTGCGACGCGCTGATGAGATCTAAAAAGGTCGAAATCGCGATCCGCGTCTGGTAGTTTCGACAGAATACAGACCACATCGAATTATTTTATTCGAATGTTTATTGAATATAAAAATAATATATCAAAATAATGTTGTTTTTCTTTAAACGAGTCCGATCAAATTATGCAGAAAATTTAAAAATGCATACAGTTCAAATTTCGCTGGCTCCGAAAACCTAAATAGAAAACGTCCGTGTGTCTGTTTATAGAACAGGAAGAATGTCCTTTGGCAAAGATCAAAGGCATCTGAAGCATTCAATTCTGCTATTGGTCGTATATGTAATTGATGAGAACAGATTGGCGAGATTTCAACGCATCTGTATTGTTTTACTTTTGGCATACAAAACGTAAAAGCAAATCCGACTGGCAAAGTTGAATGAGACTTAATTGTGTTTCGTACAACGATTTTATTCAAGCCGGTCAATTAGAAGTGGCAGAAATAAATATCCCATTTGAGAAACGACAAACCAAGAAAAAAAAATAGTAGTTAATGCACAAGCGGAGTTTTGTACCACTGATAAACCAAACAGGTACGTATGTGTGTATATACAAAAATAAATTTTGAACAATGGCAAGTAACGAACGTTTTTACATATATTTAAAGCATTTTTACTTGAATAGATTCGCAAAATAACGCCATATACAGTCATCTCCTCCGTCTAAATCGTTGCTGTAGTAGTTGGAGGGACCTCAACATTTTTTTGGAAGTTGTTATTGACCCAATCCAAGTTTGGAATGTGCTATCCCTTTATTAAGGGTGCACAACATTTGCATTTAAATTCAGGTGTGTATATGCAACCAATTATACACCGCATAATGTCCTTTTTTCTAGTTCTTTTGGATCAAATGCGTCAAAATTGGTGCTTTTTAATTAATAATTCTGTTTAAACGATATCGTCCTGCGATATATACAATTCAACCTCGTATTAAACGTTTTAGTAGTCAGATAGTACCAGAATTTAATGCATTTGTTATGATTAAAGTCGGATCAAATTTGACAAGGCCCTTGTTCTTTTAAGATCAATCATCATTTTGTTCACGACCAAGTCTAAGTGAGATATTAACAAACATATACATACGGTAGAATATGATTGTACACAAAATCATTGTGATACACCCCTAGATAAAAATACTCAGTCTCAAAATTTCTGAAAGAGAGACTCGAGTCTCCGTCTCTCATCGAGTCTCTCTGGTGTCGATAAGAGAGACTGTTAAAAGAAATGTTTAGCGTCTCTGAGCGAGAGACTCGAGTCGCTCATAGAGAGATTCCTCATTTCGTATCCGGTTCTAAACGTGAGACTCGAACCTATCTAATGATTGTTAATATTTTAATTTAAAAATTAGAAGTTTTGTTATATATTTGACAAGTATCGTCTTACACCCGAGATAAAAATGTTCAGTCTCCGTCTCTCATCGAGTCCCTCTGGTGTCGCTGACAGAGACTGTCAAAAAAACTGTTTAGCGTCTCTGAACGAGAGACTCAAATATCTGAACGAGAGACTCGAATTTCTGAACGAGAGACTCGAATCTCTGAACGAGAGACTCGAATATCTGAACGAGAGGCTCGAATCTCTCAATAAGTGGTGTCTCGACAGACATGGTTAAAATTTTCTAAGTTCAACGTATTTCAAAGATCCCAGTCTTTCTGTGACAGACTTGAATCTCTTTATCGTTCGAGTTTCTCATACAGAGACTGTGTGAGATCCATTAAAATACCTAGGCAATAACTCAGAGACTGTGAGAGACGCTCTCAGAGACGCTGAAAGACTCTGAAAGACTGTGAGAGACTGGAGAGAGACTGAAAATTTTTGTCTAGGGACGTTTTGTTCTAAACCCTGTAACTGACATTTTTTAAGTGTTAAGTGAATCTGCTTCCTTATTAGGTACTTAAATTCAATATATGCTTCCAAACTTATCTGCGACATTGCAAAAAAGAAATTTTAAATACTAATACTATTGTATTATATCTAATTCAGAAGTCAGATATGTATCAGTGTACGCCTCATCAAATATAATTTCTTCATCTGTCATTTAGTGGTTAAGTCTTCCAATAACGGAACGTTTTCGATGTTCTTTCTCTCAGCAGTGTTTTTTTTTAAATTTAAATTGAATTCTCCTAGATGGTGAGATTAGACTTTAATTTCAACATATTTACTTGGACAGGAGCGTCATTCAATGCTGGGATGATAGATGATGTGGCTTCTTATTACGACGAATTGAGCGAGCCAAGTGTCTTTCCACACTTAACCCGTTGCCTTTACCAGATCTAATTATCTGGTCTGCTCCAATGCAGCCCATAACAGCCAGAAGCTGTTACAGTTTAGACATTCGTGAATGATTCATTGTCATATAAAACAAGAAGCCTTACCGTTAATATTCTTGTAATGATAGTAAATTGTTTCACCTCCCATGGATACCTAACATCCAATTTTGTCACAAGAAGACATTGAATGATGAGGTACGTATCACTACGTTTCATACAGATTTATTTTAATAGATATGCGGACACACATATATATACATACAGCATACGGCCCTTTTTAAGAAATCTAATTCCAATATGTTAATGTAACATGCTATTAGTTGTGTCGTTATAACTAAATAGAATAATAAGAGAAAATTTAAGACCATTATATTACAGGGTGCTTCAAAAAAATGTATACACACTTTGAACTTCCATAGAAAATTTATTTACCGTTCTACAAAGTTAAATTTCAGGAAAATAGAAAGCTGAAAGTCCAATGTAAATGAAACATAAATAACAAATGTTAATACTGTTCAAATTGGTGACCTACAGCATCAATACAATTCTGAGTACGAGTCACCACAGATTCTGTACATCGTATCAAAACGTCCAATGAGATTTCTCTACACACTGCTTGAATCTCATTCCAAAGAATGTCTAGGTTACGTGGTTTACGTTTGTACACCTCATCTTTTACTGTGCCCCACAAGAAGAAATCCAGTGGTGTAAGGTCTGGAGAGCGTGCTGGAAACTCGATTGGCCCCCTGCGTCCTATCCACTGGCCCGACAAATTTTGATCCAGGTAAGCTCGTACGTCCCTGTGATAGTGCGGCGGAGCACCATCTTGTTGAAAATAAAA